GCTCCTGGAGTTGCAGAGCTGCCCGTGCCACTGACTGGCCTGCTGGCTGACTGTCCCCCACTCTCACGGCCTGCATGGCTACAGAAAGGAAGTCAGAGGTGGGAGACAGAGAGCCCTGACACCCCCCAACCCAATAGCAGGGTACGGCCTCTCCAGCCCAGCCTTGCAATTGCTGGGACCTGCCCAGTCTCCTGAGCTGCTCACGCAGAGGTGGCTGGGTCTGAGGTCTCCCTCCCACAATGGTCACTGGAGGTGATGCACCAGCCGAGGCTTCACCTTTGAGGGACTTAGCAGCCCCCGGGGAACCTCTGGGCCCACAGGCAGCTGCTTCCAAAGGAGAGTCATCACAGCACCCAGGACAATGTGAACCTCTGTGTTTCCTCTACACAGTCTCAGCTGGCAACAGGGGTAACAGCAGGTGCAGGAACAAGGCCAGAAGCCAAACAGGAGGCTCTCCCCACCTGAGTCCAGCTCAGTGCTAAGAGCTCCTATAGCATTCCCACGCCCTCTTCCCAGCAGGCTCCTGCCAGGGTTCAAGTACAGCACCAGGGAACAGGATCTGCCTGGCTTCCCTCACCCAGAGCTAAGTCAAGGTCAGGTACAGCAGAGGGCTGAAGGCTGGGCTCCATGGTCCCTCTGCCAGGGGCCAGACTCAGAAAGGTGAAGATCCTTACCCAAGGCCACACAGAGCGGACGGATCACCTGCCAGTGTGTGCAGGCGTCAGCCTTTGAGGTGAGACCCAAGGAATGGGCAGAGTACCGAGACAGAATAGAGAATGAGAGACAAGCCAAGGGCAGAGAAGGAAAGGGGCGGAACAAAAAAACAAGACAAAGAGACAATGGAAGCACTGGGGTCCTAGGATAAAGGCAAGCAGGGACCTTGGGGCTTGTGGGGTCAGAAGGGACTGTCCCCAGCCTACGGGGGCTCCACTGCAGCCTGCAGCATTCTGGGACACGTGGAGGACCCAGGACTCCAGCCTGGCCCCCTGGGCTCTGCTCTCATCTCCACCCCACTGCCCCTCCAGCTCTGCATTCTGGGTTCTGATGTGAACAACCCAGCCACGCTCTCAGACAAGCTTGTAGGGGCTTGTCTGACAAGCTTGAAGGCCCCGTCCTTTTTTTCTCTCCTTCCTTCCATACCACCCTAATTCCCAGGCCCAGATCAAATGTCACCTCCTCTAGGAAGCCCTCACCTAGTCAAGCAGGGTAACCCCTCCGGGTCCCATGGAGCTATGGCTGATCCCTGCACACCGGTCAGGTGGTGACCAGGTCTCTATGTGCTCACCTCTGCTCTGCACTGTCCCACACTTGGTCCCCATCACCCCCTGGCCTCGATCACCGGCCCCAGGCCATTCGCCCTCCCAGCGCTCCATGCGCTTGGCCTGGGCTGACCACAGAGGCAGCCTGCATCCCTCTGCCCAAGGGGTCACTCCACCTCCACGGGAGGCTTAGCTGGTTTGTTTGCACTGACTCCAATCTCAGTCTGCCCCACAAAGGAAGGATTACGCCCGAGTTTCCAGAACGGATTTCTTCCTCGCTCGGCCTGCAGTTCCGGGACTGGCGATGACGCCTGAGTTTACAGAACAGATTTCTGCTGGGATGGGCGTGACCGTGCTTTTGTGCCTGCTATCAGCAATGGCACGCTGTCTCCCCTGAGCCAGCAGGGCCTGGGGAAGGGAGCTGGGCCGCCTTCACTTCCTCCTCGTCTGCCCAACCTTTATTTGCTTATTTCCAAGCCACTTAGAGGGGATGTTTGCTGATTCCAAAAGTGAAGTCAGCGTAAGGATTTTGAAATTCTGCAAGTTACTCCCAAGAGGGCAGGAGGAACCTGCGATCACACCCCGGGGGCCCAAGAGTGGTGGGTCGCCTTTGAAGCCGATTCCAGCCGGTAAATCCTGGCTTCCCTCCCGGACAGGCAGGGCTGCTCCTCTCCCTGCCTTGCTTGATGTCGGTGGCCTGGTGGCCAGTCCTCAGCAACTGGGGACCTCACTGTGCTGATCCATGGCAGCCTGTGCCAGGCGATGCTGCAGGGAGAGCCCTCCCGGTCCTCTGCCCAATCCTCAGGGCGGTTCCGTCAGGGGCACCTATGGAGACCTCGAGCCGTGGGTTCACCTGGACCACGGTGCCAAGGGGCCCCGACTGGGGTGACTGAGGGCGGACATCAGAGCTCATTCATCACAGACAGCTCTAAGGCAGTGGCACACTCGGGTCTTCTAGAGATGTCCTCCCTACTCTGTTGTCACCTTCTGATTTTGCAAGCGAATCCATGATCTCTAACCAGAGACAGGGAGCATGCGGTCCCAACGCAGCCTCTTCAGTTGCCCACAGCAGACACTGCTAATCCATGCCTGCACTCTCTTGGGCTGAGCGCTGAGGATGGCAACAGCTGTGAGCAGGAGCCTGGAAGTGGCATAGGAATGGCCAGCTTCTGCCGTGCTGCTGCTGCTGCAGTCTTGGTGCCAGCAAAGGGCTTTTTCAAACTGGGGACCCAACCACGCCTGGCAGGGGTTTCAGCTTGAGCAAAAGCCCTGGAGCAAGAGTGGAAGTAGCAGAGAAGAGGGGCTGAGTGGTGGATGACAGACATAACATGGGGGTGGGCATTGGAGGTCTCCGGGGAGGGTCTGAGCAGAGCTTTACAAAGTTAACCCCAGCCCTGGGGTGGAACATGTAGTAGGGTCTAGGGGCACTAAAGGAAGGCTGCTACAATGTGCATAAAGGAAAGTGGAAAAACAGATGTCCCTCGAGGCTGGGTGGCTCTGAGACCCAAGGGTGTAAAGAGCTAGTGCTTTGGGGTCTCGGGGAGATGGGGCAGGATGTAGGGCCTGCTGGGGCTCGGAGCCAGCAGTGTCAACTCAGCAACAACAGTAATGGCATCGTCACCTCCCTGAGTCTCACTGCTGGTGGTCTGCGATGAACCCCACTGCAGCCCTACTCCACCATGGATGACAGCAGGTGCAGGAGCTGAACCGAGGCTGTGCTGGCTGACCCCAGGGTGGCAGGGCACAGCGACAGGAAGCAGGTGCTGCCTCAGCCCAAGGCCCTGGCTCCAGTCCCCAGCACCCCACAGAGGGGCATTGTCCACCAGCAGCAGGCATGGCCAGTGGGGAGCCCGGGAGTGGACTGGCCTCCCTGGAGAGGAATTGACAGGACCGACCTAGGAGCATTCCTCCACAAGCTGTGACAGCACCTCACCTTCCAGGGTAGGGCCTTGGGGTCTCCGCACAGGTTCCACCCACACAGCACCTCAGATAATCCCTAGGAAAGGGGTGTTGGACTGCGTGATGTCAGGACATGGACTCCAGCCCCCCTCCCCGCCCCACCACCAGCAAGCAGAATCAACATTTAAGCAGGATCACAGTGCCTGCTTCTGAATTGGAGTCAGGCAGTGAGGTTAAGACCCAGGCCTCTCTTCAACCGTCACCCATGTCTCTGGACCACAGGTACTTCCAGGGACAGCAGGACTGCGGCCAGCCCCTCTGGTAGCTGCTGGGAGTGGGGCTGGGAACTTCTTGGATCATGATCATGCAAGGACTTGAATCAGACCTGTCAGAGCTGAATCTGCCAAGCTGTGGAGGTACCACAGATGGATTCCAAAGTCAGTTCAAGTTTGAATCCCAGATTGGCCACTGGCCCACTTGGGCAGCTGGGACCTCCTTAGCAAGTCAGGATACTGATGCTGACCAAGTGGGCCTTGCAGACTCCGTGATGGGAAGCCTGCAGTGGCTTCTGCCATGTCGTCAGCATTGATTCTTGGTTATGGTTACCATTCTTGCCATTGTCCCAGAAGAGTAACTGTCCAGGTCCCTGGCCCAGCTTCCCACCCCCAAGTCACCCTGCTCCTTGCCATCCACAATCCCAGGAAGCCGGGATCCTGGAGCAGCTCCTAGTGGGGCTGCGGTTCACCAGGAGCTACAAATATTTACCTTGGAGACCTCCGGTCGGCCCGAGGCTTTGGCCCGGATGCAAAGGGTGGCCACCTGGGCCGGCTCGTGGGATATAAGGCCACATGTCTGGCCTCAGGAGAGAAGAGCAGCAGGCGGAGGAGACCAGCACACCCAGGTGAAAGTGTGGGCAGGGACCTCTGTGGGGGCAGGCAAAGGGGAGCTTGGGTGGGGAAGTGCCCAGCTCCCTTGCCCAGAGGACCAAAGCGCGGTGATGGAGAGATGGGACCCAGGAACATTTGCCCTGCCCACACCGACTGCTGGGTGCCTCACTTGTACAAAGTTGGGAATGCAGGAGACCAAGTGCTGCCTCCCATGCAGGGAGCTCCCAGTATGGGCAGGTGCCTCTGTTACCCGCAGGAAACACATGTCACCTGACTCCATGGGTGTCTCTGGCACACAGAGAGTCCCACATGCTGACCCTAGCCGGGGCCTGCATCTCTGAGTCAGCTCCTACCCTCCTTGTAGTCAGGATCCTCTGTGGGTCAATGCGTCCATCCAGGTGCCCTGGACGGGCCCCAGGGGCCGACACCCATCCCATGCAGGCATACGACCCTCAGGGTAGGTTCTAGGGTCCCTGGTCACAGGACAGGCAGAGCCACCAGTGACTGCAAACAGCTTGGAATGGAGGGAACTTGGCAGAGCAAGAAGGGGAGAAACAGGATGTAGGGCTGGATGAAACTGGACAACAGGGGGCCTCATAAAGAGACTGGAAGCAGGCAGCCTTTGTCCTGATGGATTTTCCCATAAGAAAATAGCTGATACTTGCCACTGTTCACCAAAACACTCTGCAAGATGCTCACTGAACTCCATCAACTTTATCAAATAAGAGTGACTGAGCCCAGTTATTGGAGCAGAAACAGGCTAAGTTGATGGTCCCAGGCTGCACAGCTAACCCCCAGCAGTCAACCCCAGCACTAATCCACCTCTCCTGGTTACCTCGGCCGGGTCATCAGGTGTTGCAAGCCTGCCATTGGATTCTCCGCCTGGTTAACAAGCTCCACTTCATTCTCCCCAGGTTCTGCCACCTGCCACCTACTGCTCAGAACATCCCAGAAGATGGCCAGCCCGTGGGCCTGCACCCTCCTCTGCCTGTTGCTGGCAGGCACCCTGGCCCGAGCTGCTCTCAGACCCACGGCGATTCTCAGCCTCAGCCCGGATATCATCAGAGAAAGTAAGTCTGCCCTCCTTCACCATGCCCACCACCCCCATCCTCCCAGCCATGCCCCACCAGGGACCTCAGCAAGAGGCAAAGGGGCAGGTAGAGCAGCCATCCGAGGAGGGTCTCCTCACTGGGGTGTGTGAGGCGTGTCTGGGATCCCGAGGCTTAGATGACACGTGCATGGACAAAGTCCATGTGTCTCCGCAGTCCAGAGGAGAAACAGCCTGCCTAGATGTCTACACCTAGCTTCCTCCCTTCCCAGACAAGCCTCTCAACCCCAGCTCCCTCCTCTGGAAGCAAATGAGAGGGCTGCTGCGAGCCCTTGTGGCTTTACTGGTCGAGAAGGGGTACCCCAAATGCTGTGAGGTGCTTGCCTGCATCCTCAATCCAACTGTGACCCCCTCCAAAAAAAGTGTCTCTGGACATTGCCAAAAGTCTCTTGAGGACACCCCCACCACAGTGGATAGCCAGCTCTCTATGGTCCTCTGGGAGGAGGGGTGACCTTCACCTCTTGGGGACCTTGGCATTTCAATGGAAAAAGGCTAGGGCCAGAGGCAGGCCCAAGTCCTGCAGGGCCAAGGGTTCTATACGCAGAGGAAGCATGCCCATGTGTTGATGGGAAGCAGACAGCACTGGGAGGCCGTGGAAGGCAGGGGCCCTCAGAGTCTCAAACTTGGGAATTCTCCATCAGAAGGGACATGGACCTAAGCAGCCATGGTCTGGAGCCCAGGAGCTGTTTGCAATTAGATGGTTTAGACGGTGCTGAGGTGGGGGTGGAGGGAGGTGAGCCAGGTAAGGGACAGGTCCATGAGATGGCAGGGAGAGGCCTCTCCAAGCCATCTGCTACTGTAAGCTGTGACTTTAGTCCCACCAGGCAGCTGTGCTAATCAGAGCCTTTCACAGACACCACTCGGTGTTGTCAGTGCATAAATGGAATGGAAAGATCCATCAGCAGGGGACAGGTGCAGCAGCTTAGGCACCACGTGGGAGACCTACATGTTACATCGTTGTGCCTGGTTTGAGTCCCAGCCCCACTCCTGTTCCTGCTTCCTGCTAGTATATCTGAGAGGCAGTTGCTGATGACTGAAGTACTTGGGTCCTTGCTACCCAAGAGAGTCATGGATGGGGTTCCAGGCAGCTGGGAGACTGACACAATGACCGAATGGGCTCTGGCAAGGGACAACAGCCTAGGGCTTCTGAGCCTGGGTCTCTGTCCCTGGGCTCCCAGCTCCTTCCTTCTTTGGCTCAGAACATTTGCTGCTGGCTGGCAGGCTGCTGGAAGGGGTAGCTCAGCGCCTCGCAGCCTCTCTCTTTATGGGTAAATGACTGCTCTGGGCTACTGTCCTCTAAGCCCATCTACACAGTGGACATTGTGGTACCACAGGTGACATCCTGTACCAGGATCCCAGGAGCCCTAACCCACCTCTGTCCCAGGCCCTGGAGCCCCTGCCAAGCCTTCCCACTTGCCCCTCCTTGGCCCCTAACTAACCCCTAGGCTCTGCCTCCAGAACTGATGGACAAGCTGGAGGAACACAATGCCACAGTCATCCTCCAGCAGCTGCCACTGCTCAGTACCGTGCAGGAAGAATCCACCGGGCTACTGGGCAGCCTGCTGAGTGGGGCCATGAACCACATCATCTGGTAAGTGGGACAGGCCCCCCACTGCAGCCCACCTGGGGGCCCCTGCACACCCCGGCAGCAGTCAACAGCTGCTGTGCCCACCCTTGCCTCTCCAGGAGGCGTTTCCCAGAAAAGTTCATGGAGTAGCTAACCATGACCCTGAGACCCTAAGAGAGCAAGCCCAGAGGAAGGTCAACTCCGATGGCAGAGGGAGAAGATGAGCTGACCTTGAGCCCATGGCTCAGCGTTCATCACAAAGATGACCTCCCAGGCAGAGGAGGCAGCCTGGGCAAAGCCATAGGCGGAGGCAGTCGATCAGAATGGCTGGGCTCAAACCCCAAGCAAGGAGTAGCAGCCAGGCAGGGCCGGGTCAGCCCACTGAGCCAGACTCCATCTCCACAGAACCAAGGGTGGAGCGGACAGTGGAGAGGAGCCAGAGGACAGTCTGAGCATCCAGCTGTGTCCAAGCACCTGGGGCAGGGAACGGAAGCGAGAAAAGAACAGGACTGATGATGCTGCCAAGTGGAATTTGATTTTCATTCCTCCTGACCCAGGTTCAAGGTCACCTCAGCTAGCATCCTCCAGCTGCAGGTGCAGCCTTTGTACTACAGCCAGGAGATGTTGGTCAGGATCCCCATGGACATGATGGCTGGCTTCAACACGTGAGTGCTTTTCCCCCGGTTGGGCACATTGGGCCAGATGGGTACATCACTCATCCTCCCTCCCCACAACCACGTAGGCGACTGGCAAAGCGAGGCCTAAGCAGCAAGAAGAGGTGCAAAGGCCCTGTGGCAGAAATATGGCAAAGAGAGGGAAGAAGGAGGTGGGAGATTGGATCAGCAGGTAGCTGACCCAGGTGGCCAAGGCTGGCTCAGGCAAGGCTTTGTGGGTTAGGGTGAGGACTCAGCTTCACCAAGTGAGACAGATGGGAGCCACAGAATGTTCTGAGCAGAGGAGAGGCTTGACATGTCCTAATGTCTCTGGCTGATATGCGGAAAACAGGCAGAGTGGGGGCAAGAAAGCCAGCCAAGAGCTACTAGAACAATCCAGGAGGTGATGATGACAATGGCTTGAACCCAGGTGGACTGGGGAGATGGAGAGAGCTCTGGGCATGTGTGGGATGTTGGTGAAGACTACTGCTGAGTTGAAGGGAGAAAACAAGAAGGAGAGAAACAAGCTTGACTGCAAGGCTTTTGCCAGCACAAGGGCAGAACGGAGTGGCAGGAGGCGACAGCAGATGAGGCCACGAGTAGGGGCGGGTTTGGGAGACAATTCCAAGTTCAGGTTGTGCTTTGCTGACCTGGAGAAGGCCGCAGGACAGAACAGTAGGCACCAGGCTGTCGGCTCAGGAACTGTCAGCCTATGGAAGGGCTTTGGATAGGAGAGCATCCGCCACATAGGCACCAAGCTTGAGCCTGGGAGCTGCAAGCAGAGGAGGCTGGGAGAGGAGCAGGAAGCAGCCAGAGGGGAGGGAGTAGGGGGTGCATGGATGGCAGAGGCAGTGTGCCACTCATGTCCTCACTCCTGACCCCAGGCCACTGGTCAAGACCATCCTGCAGATGCATTTGGAGACGGAGGCCCAGGCCACCATCCAGGTGGAGACTGGCGCAGGGACCCCTCCTCGCCTGGTCATCGGTGACTGCTCCAGTAACCACAGGAACCTGCGCATCAGTGTGCTGAATAAGTGAGTGTGGTGCCCGGGCAGCCACAGCACAGCCTTGCCCCAGCTCACAGGTAGAGAACCACAAGGCCCAGAGCAAGAAGAGACCATACCCTGCTAATCCTACCTCCAGGGCACTTTCTAAGGACTCCACAGTGCCCAAGGAAGTCCATGACACCGAGGGTGGGGTTTCAACAGTGGATGGGGCAAGCCTACCCCTCTCCCCCAGGTGAACTTAGGTGGAGCCAGGGTCAGTGAAAGGAGGCTGGAATGGGGGATACAAAGGCCTTGGAACTCCTTCACGGAACACCTGGGCAATGCTGGCAGGGCACCTCCCTGCCTCTCAGCTTCCTCCTCTGCGGACAGGCTATGATATCTGCCTGGTAGGTAGCAGTGGGCAAGTGACCGGCACCCACCTCCACTTCTCAACAGGGGCGTTGGGAAGGAATGCCAGCTCCTGTCACCCCCCTGTCAGCACAAATTTCACGACCACACCCAGCCCCAGTCTCCGAGAACTCTCCAAGAACTCCACACCAGACTCAAGACCAAGTCCCACTAGCAACTCCAGTGGCTGGGAGCAAGTTCCTTTCTCCCTGGACTCAATCTGTCAACTACAGGGGGATAACACTAATCCATGTATCCCCTTTCTCCTCCCAAAGGCTCTCCTTCCTGGTCAACTCCTTAGCGGAGAAGGTCACAAACATTCTGACACCAGCCCTGCCCAGTTTGGTCCAAGACCAGGTGAGTAAATTCAGGGCTGCTGTGGTTTTGAAGACTGTGCCCTCTGTAGGGAGGATATGGAACTACATGCTGCTTTTGCAAAGAGTGGATGGGTCTGTTGACCCTGGGGCAGGTGATTTAGGTCAAGATTACAGAGCTGCCAGAAGCCAGCGGGTTGGCCAACAAATCTCTAACGATCGCCTCTGGAAGAACTGAAGAGGAGTCTTGATTTGTAGGATCACTGCTCTCCCTGCTCTATGGTGTGCCCTCCGAAGCATTTTATTTTTGGTAAGATTTGTCTTATTTATTTGAAAGGCAGAGTTGCAGAGAAAGAGAGAGCACTTCCATCCATTGATTCACTCCTCCAAGTGGCAACAACAACTAGGGCTGTACCAGGCTAAGCCAGGAGCTTCTTCTGGTTCTCCTATGTGGCTGCTGGGGCCCAAGGAGTTGGGCCATCCTCTGCTAATTTCCCAGGTGCACTGGCAGGGATCTAGATCAGAAACACAGGAGCCAGGACTAGGACTGGTGCCAATATGAGTTGCTGGCTTTGCAAGCAGTTGCTTTACCTACCACACCACAGCACCAGCCCCTACTTCTGTTTTTCAGTTGTTTATTAAACAGACAGCACAAGAGCCTGCCCATCCACTGGGAGCCAGATATTCAGTTGGGGTCTCCCCCGTGGTGAGCCCAAAGCTCAGCTGCCAATCACCAGTGTGACCCCTGAGTCGAGCTGGGCAGCAGCCCACTCGGGAGCAGGATTCCCACCACACAGACACCAGGCATCATGGAGAACAGGAAAACACAGGGAAATGACATGGAAGCAGTGAGCACAGCCAGAACACAGCTGCTAAGATTGCCTGCTTTTCACATCCCAGGCAGTAACTAAGTGGTCAAGCTTGAAATTTGCAGCCCTCACTTGCTAGCGTAAGTCCCTATCTCGGGAGTTTTGAAAAGGGACTCTGAAAATGAATAATTGTATAAGCTTGGCTTTCCTGGGTTGAGATTCTTCTTTGAAGAATTTTATTTTTTACTTTTCTGTTTAAAGAGAATTTTTGAAAGATTTCATTTTACTTATTTGAAAGACAGAGTGACACAGAAAGAGAAAAGGAGAAGGAGGGAGAGAGAGTTCCTCCAAATTACCTCAACATTAGGGGCTGGGCCAGATAGAAGCCAGGGTCCCCGAACTCCATCCCGGCCTCTCCCATGGGTGTCAGGGACCATCCTCTGCTGCTTTCCCAGGAGTATTAAAATAGGGTCTCATTGTAAACGCTCCCCCAGCATCTACCAAAATTATATTTTATCCGGTGCCATGCTTGGATAGGTAAAAATAGATTTTGCAGCAGGAAAGGTGGCAAGGACTGGGAACTGCGACATTTGCCGCACAGCTGTCTGTAAGGATGCAGAGCCAAGTGTGAGCCTTGAGAAAGCTGGCACTCGTTTCCCACCTGGCTCCCGCGGGCTGCGCTGGCTTCTGGTTGGTGGCATAAAGGGGAAGGTGCAGCTGGCACCTTCTTCCCTGTGGTCTGTGAGTCTCTACCCCAACTAAAAAAAATCAGAGAAATGCTGACTCCTGAGCCCTAGCCCAGGCCCAGACGATGCTGGACCAAGTGCGCCCTGGAGCTCAGGGGACTCCAATGAGTAGCCAGGGTGGGAACCTAATGAGAAAATGAAGGCTAGAGAGTTGTGGGAGGAAAGACCACCCACAGCTGTCAGGGGCAGCTTTCCCACGAGGAGCAGATGGTCCCCTGGCAAGGCATGCTGGAAGTCTCTGAGCCAATGCCACCATGTGCTCAGGAACCTTGCGTTGGCAAAGCAGCTGGGAGAGCAGGAGCTGCTGATTCAGAGGAAAAGCCACCACTTCCCAGCATGCACTGTCACCCTCCCTCAAGGGGTGGCCAGCTGGAAGCTCCCTCCATCAGGGCAGCCATATGAAGACCAAAGGACCTCGCGGTCATGCAGCATACCCTGGGAGACAGGATCACTTTTAGCAGGGAATCCTGGGACCCCCAACAAAGGGGGTACAAGCATGAACCTCATCCTTCAGCAGCCACCACAGGGGCTGCAGTGTGTGTGGTGGGGGGTTCCATGGCCCCGCTGGCCTCTGGCTGCTGGCTGCCAGAAGCACTTGTGATGGCTACTGATGTCTCCAGAAACTTCCAGGTGTTTCCTTAGAAGAGAGATCCTGCTTAGGCCCTCCTGACAAGTTGAGGAGTCAGTGAGCAGGCAAAGGCTGCACGCAGGGCACACAGGGAGCTGCACGCAGGGAGCCAGGGAGCAGTGGGGTCTAGCTTGCCGGCCTCAGTCCCGGACTCCGCCGAGGGGTAGGCACTCCAAACTGACTGGGGGACTCAGAGGAATCTACTTCTCGACAGAAAGTGTGTAGTGTTGTGAACAAGACCAGCAGTCTGGCTGGGCACGGGGCCTCAGGGAGCAACGGGAATGGTAAAGTGACAGACCTGCATGTGACAGCCTAGCTGGCCACAGCCACAGCACTCAGGAGAGGGGGTGGGCATGGGCCGCAAGGGGCTGGGTTCTGGCCTCACAGACACAGCCCCTGTCTTTGCACTGTCGCAGCTGTGTCCTGTGATCGAGGCAGCCTTCAACGACATGTACGCCAACCTCCTGCACCTGGTGACAGGTAAGTGCCCTGTGCCTTCCTGCCGGGCTCACCTCCAGGCCCCGCCTCCATTTGGGAGAGTGTCCCACCCTTCAACCTGCCCACTCAGGCCTGAGCAGCGACTTGGGGGCCCCTGTTGACCTCTGTCCAGAATGAGTAGACAGGAATTCGCCACAACAGCAACTCTGTAAATGCACTCCCAGGCCAAGGTTCTGAGTGAGGCCGGTGGGTGCTCTAGACAGGCCCGAGCGCAGATCTCAGCTCAGCTACCACCCTGTTCCTCGGCTTTGGGAAAGTCACTCCACCTCCTTGTCCTCATCTATATAGTGAAGCTTCTACAAACCTACCTGTTAAAATTGCTGATGAGGGTTCAAGGTTACAGGAAAGTCCTAAGTGCAAAGTCAGTATTCTGCCTGACATAGAGAATGACTCATGGATAAGTGGTTGATAAATGAGTGGATGGATGGATGGATGGATGGATGGGTGGATGAGTGGATTGGGTGGATGCAATGATGCATGGATGGATGGACAGATAATACAGTGACCTTTGTGTTTACTAAAAAAGATAGAACTGGGGAAAAGATGATCTGTGAGTCCAGGAAAGAGGCCATTTCTCCCCCTTGAGAGAGGCAGGGACGAGGCACACTGGCCTTTACCCCTCCTCCGGAATCTCCATGCTCAGAGCTCTCAGAATAGAGGTTGGCCAGGATGAAGAAAGTTCTGCTGCCTAATGATGAGGGATTTGAAGAGGCCCGTCCAAAGGGCAGTGAGGAGAGAAGAGTGGAGAGATGCACACAGCAGGCACCTGCTGTGCCGAGCCCAGTACCGGGCATCTCATAACCACAGACTCGCTGGCTCAGCAAATGATCCATGGAGCAGATGTCGCTCTACTCCCACGGGAGGGGACCGAAGCTCGGTTAAGTCATTTGTCCGGGCTCGTGGAAGAACCCAGGGATGGGGAAGGCTTGACACAGATCCTTTCAGCCCCTGTGGTGTCATTTAGATTGGGGGATGCTGGGTGACAGGCAAGAATTTCCCGGACCCCCAGTGAAAGGGAGGAAATGAGTGACCAGTCCCAATGAAGGCCACTGGAGTGGAAGCTATCGTGTCTCTGTCTTCTCTGCTCCATGGGAACGTGTGTGTGTCTGTCTGTCTGTCTGTCTGTCTGTCTGTCTGTCTGTCTGCGTCCCCAGGCACCCCTCTAGCTCAGCCTTTCCTAGCAGGGCGGGATGGGAAGGGGGGGCGTGTGATGAAGAGCAGACGCCACCGCCACCTGGTGGTCAATCAGGGACTCACACTCAGAGCCGGCACCCCAGGTTTCCAGGGCTCCCTGCACCCTCACAAAGCTGTTCTCTGTTTCTGAGCAGAGCCTGCCGTATTCAACCTCGGGAGTGTGCAGTTTTACCTGCAGACTCCAGTCATTGATGGAGACATCATCCAACTCAACCTGGGGGTGAGTGTCCTGAGACCCCGCGTGTTGGGGAGACCCAGTCATGATTATAATACTTGAGCTGATCCTGGAAGGTTACCACAGGCTTCACAGCCTATCCAGCCACCCCTACAGGGTGACTGCACAGCAACTGCATCCGGACCACCTGTATTCCAGCCGTGTGTGTGTGTGTACTGCACACCTGGCCAGTTCCTGCCGGTCCCCAAGCCTCGACAACACCAACAGCTCACTGAGCATCACACACCCATGGTTCTCTAGATCCCTGACTTCCTGGCTGTGTGATTCTGAGCAGGTTTCTTCACCTCTCTGAGCCTTGGTTCTCACATCTATAGAATGTAAATAATAACAGTCGCTGAGGAGAGAGTGAAATGAGACCGTGCAGAGCCCGGCAGGCAGGCAGGGCTGCACATGTGAGGCCGCTCTGGGAAGTGTGGGTCATATGCGAATGCTCAGGTTGGACTCTGAGGAGCCAGTGCAGTTCCCAGCTTCAACACAGCAGGCATGTGGGGAGTGAGCCAGAGGATGGGCTGTCTCTCTCTCAAATAATACAAAAACAAACAAACAAACAAACTTTTTTTTAAACAAGTGAAATCCAGATCAGATCTGAGAAATATATAGTAGGCACCTGAGCTAGCTCACCGCCTCTAGCAAGGGGCTGAGCCTCCCAGCAACTGTTGCCAAAAGGGAAATAGGTTGAGATGGCTCCATTTCCTGCCAGGTTGCTATCGGGTGAGCTGCTGAGTGAATTTCTCAGCCTGCTCCCTGAACTATCTCCTCAGGCCACCCTGTTGGACTCAGAGAAGAAAGTGAGCAAATGGTTCAACCAGACCACAGCGTTCCTGACCGCACCCACCCTGGACAGCGCCCCTGTCAAATTTACCGTGAGACACGACCTGGTGAATGCTGTCGTGGCTGCCTTGCTCCCACCCGAGGAATTTGTCGTCCTTCTGGACTATGTGGTGAGCCTGGGCATGGGGCAGAGGAGGTGGGTGACTTGGCAGCATGGGAAGAAATTCCTGAGCTGAGGGGAGACAGGCACGAGGACCTCCCCCGCCTCCCCCGGCCCTGTCACCTGCCAGCTAAAAGCTGAACACACACACACACACACACACACACACACACGTCACACATTCACACACTCACACACGTCACACAGGTCTGTCCTCTTCCTGTCTCATGAAACCACAGATACCGTAGGCACCCTCAGCCGTCAGAGGTGGTAATCAGCTCACTGCTTACCACTGTGGGACCCAGGCCAGACAGCACTATTCAAGCAGACCTCTCCTTCGCACTGAGCCTGGATGGAGACCCAGCCTTGGTTTCCTTATAAACTCTGGCACACAGCACCCGGTGACTGATGGGGGGCACCAGCAATCACATTCACCAGGCACTTCCCAACATCCCTGGTAGGGGGCAGAGGACTGCCTGCAGACCTATGGCCACCAGCAGGGTCCAGCCCTCTCCCCACCACCAGAATAGCTGATGCCTCTGGGCTGGTTCTCCTCCCCTCTGCTGACCAGCTCCCACTCCTTCCCACAGGTCCCCAACCTGGCCGACCAGCTCAAGTTAGCCATCAATACGTTCAACAAAGAGGTTGGTCCTTTTGCTGTGGCCTCTGGGTGGGTATGGGGTAGGGAGGGGACAGCTGGCTTCCCTGCCCTGCCCTGCCCCACAGGACTCAGACCACGGTCCTGGCCTCACAGAGAGAATTCAGACTGACAGCAGGGCAGGGGGACTTGAATCAAATCTTCACACAGATGGTATTTCTGTTACAAGTGACAAAGGTGCAGGGGGAGATATTCTGAGAGGAAAGTTGGGCTGCCCATAGGGGGGCGGGACATTCCCCATAGAGGGAACCCTGGGAGAGCAGAGTGTGCAAGAATAACCAGATGATGGGAGACAGGCAAGCAGCAGAAGGCCAGGAAGGCGGGCAGGGGCCAGGACACAGGGGACAGCAAGACGGGGGCACTGGGGAGGCCACGTGTGGGTCTGATGTCCATGCAGGCTGCTGGTCAGGTGGAGGCCACGCAGAGGTTGAAGATCCGGACTCTGAAGAGCCCGGAGGTAGTGCTGAACCACGATGGTGCTAGAGTGGCCCAACAGATCGTGCTGGACTTCTTCGCCAACGAGCAAACCCACCGCCCCCTCTTCACCCTGGGCATCGTGAGTTCCACTGTCCATGACCTTGGCAGCAGCCCAGGCATCCTGCTGCTTTGCGCAGAGTTGCCACCATTCTTGTCACCCAGTAAATGAGTGGCAGGGACTGTTCTCTGTCCAGCTCCAACCCTGTGGCTTTCCTAGTAAGGGACCTTTGGGTCAAAACTCAACTGACATGCACAGAAGGAAGGTCCAAGCACTGAAAAGTTCAGATGGTGTTGACTTCAGGAACGGCTGGGTCCAGGTGCTCACACAGCCCTCTCCCTGTCTGACCTCTTTGGTTTTCATCTGTGCAAAGGGGTCCTCTCATGGAAGTGCTCCAAGCTCTATCAGTCCTAAATCCTATCATCCAAGGGATGCCAGCAGCTCCAACTTCTCTAATAGTTCCCAGGCTAATCATCTCAGGTTGACTCTCATTGGTTGAGCTTGGGTCATGTGCCTATTCCTGAACCAATCCATGAGACCAGGAGATGAAATATGTAAATATTCTGAGCTAGAATACACATTCATACACCGGCATGGGCTGCAGCCAGGGAGCAGGAGTGAGGGGTAGAGGGGAGGCCTCATCTACACCACACAGACTGAGGGAGTAGGGAGCTAAGTCTTTTCCACTGAGGTGCTCAGGTGACTTGCTGAGTAGCTCAAGAGGAGGCACGTGGCTCACCAAACCAGATATGCAGAACAAGTGTGTCCTCTGGGTTGTTATCAGCATCCCAAGCTGCCACCTGCTATTCAAGGAGTGGGTACAACATCTCTCCCATTGAACAGATAAGGAAAGGGGGAGCCCAAGAGGTCAAACCCTTTGCAAAGGTCACAGAGAAAGTGGCTGAGATTCTGCCCATGCCAGTTGGGCCCCAGGACTTCCTTGTGTAGCCCCTCACCCCACACCTGATGAATCCCCTTAAATGGACTGTGAGTTTCTCACTGCAGGAAGCCGACTCAGAAGCTGAGTTTTACAGCAGCAGGAACCAGTTTATGCTCAACTTTCAAGGACTCAAGTAAGCCCATAAAACCTTGTGAAGACAGCTTGGTGAAGTCAAGCACGGTCTCATGGCCGGCCAGGGGCAGCTGGGCATCGGGGAAAGCTGCTCCAGGACAGCAAGGACTGAATGTGAGAGATCTGGAAGGGTAGCTGTCCTGCACCATCCTCGTGTCCTCAGGCAGCCCATGTGAACACCTGCAAGCAAGGGCAGTGTCGGCCCCAGGCACCAGGGCTTAGCTGACTCTTGTGCCCTGCATATTCTCTCCCCATTCCCCCCTCGATTTCCTGCTCCCCTAGACTGAGTGCAGGGCATGCAAACCAGAGCCAATCAAGTACTGAAGTGGGCACTGATTGACATGCACCAGTTGCTAATGTTTTTGTATAAATAGGCTGTAAACATATAAGACTCTGCCAGGCTGGCTGCCTTGGGCCCATATTCTTGCTCATCAACAAATTGCTGAGCTAGAAACTGAGAGTGTCCACCCTTCCTGGTCCACCCCAGACCTCACTCTTGGAGTGGCTTTTCTGCTGTTGGAATCATTATGAGTTTTCTGCACACCCCACCACAGAATGTCAGCTCCACTAGGCAAGGACTTTATTTGGCTCACCATTGTCTCACTAGAGCCTTACGATACCTGGGACACAGTGGGTGCCTGTCAAGCAGTGGTTAAGTGGGTGGATTGATGGATGAATGGGTGGCTTGCTGGCTCTGTGGATGGATGGATGTGTGGCAGAATGTGTGGGCAGAGGGTCAGAATGATAGGTGGGTGGGTGGATGGATGGATGGATGGATGGATGGAAGAATGAGAGGATGATGGATGATAGATGGTACTCTAAGGGGCCAGTCTCACAGCCATCTTATGTTGCAGTTCTGATCGGATCCACCTGATGAATTCAGGCATTGCTCCATTCAATGTGAGTATTAAAGACTGTGCCTGGGCACCCAAGGGGTGGCCTAGAAGGGTCCATTCTGAAAAGGGACTTTTCCAGGGTTTGCATGGAGCAAGTCCCCGCGACTGGGCCGATCATCACCTCCCCTTCATTACCAATCAACATCCAACCTCCTGGCTCAGGCATTCACTGCGCACCTACTGTGTGTCAGACTCAGTGGAGAACACACAACAGGCATGCACATATACACAGCTTCACACACATGCACATACAGCCCCCCACACATACATGTGTGTACACACAGACACATGCATCCACACTCACGTGTGTGCACATCCACATGCCTATACATATATGTACATGTGTGTTCCACACAGCTATGCACACATGTATGCCCACACCTAGCTACTCACTGACATTTTAGTCCTCAGAACACACACCCACTCAGCTCACAACCTCATCCTACTCAGGAGGACTCACCTCACGGCCTGTCCCTTTGATGCTCAGTTCCTCGTCAGAATCGGACTGACCCGGGGATTTTAAGCCTGTCTCCTGCCACACGTTCTGGTCTTCGTGTTTTTTCCTTGTTTTCTAAATGTCCCTAATTAGTATTTAAAATGAATCGTTTCCATGTGAAACAGAGTTCCTGGTTTCCCTTGAGAAGTCAGGAGCTCATACAACACAGCGCAAGATTTGCTCCCCGGGACAGGTGGGGCAGGTGGGGCTGGGATGGAGCAGTGGAACCCCATGCATGGGCCCTGTAGGAGAAGCTGAGTCTCTGCCCTACCCCGTCCAGCTGGTTCCTGGCAGCCCGGGTGGCTCTGCCCAGCAGGAACCTGCGATTCCAGGGGCAGTACCCAACAGGGTCACCGGGAGACCTTGGGGTGCTCAGCCAGGGTCTCAGATCCCTTTCTCTCTTGTAGCCCGACCTTCTGAAGGACGCTGTCAGCAACATCCTGGCCTCGGTGCTGATACCCAACCAGAATGGTGTGTCCTCTGCCCTCGGGGCCCCTCCCCAGCATGTTCCCCACCATCCTTCAGAATCCAGTCAGTCAAATTCTGCTTCCTCCAGGAAGCCTTCCTGGTCACCCATCTGGAAATGCCCTCTGCCACCTCCTTTTTTTAAGCCAGCGCTCACATCTGTGTAGATGAGCCAGGCAATGCCCCAGCCCCACACCTGGGCTGACCAGGCCAAACAGGAAGAGGAGACAAGTGTGAACACAGAGAGCACGCTCCAGATGCCTCAGGCTGCCTGGGTTCAATCTGCCTTCCCCTCCTGCCGGCTGCCTGGGACCTGGGATATACTGTGTAGTCCCCCTCAGCCTCAGTCTTTCCATTCACAAAATGGGAAGACAGGAGTCCCTCGGTCAGAGGCACAGATGAGATGACGTCTGAAAAGGGCAGAGCAGGTGACTGGCATGGTCCGTGCCTGGCATTGCTTGGCTATTACTGTGTGCTGCAGTGCCAGGAGGAGGTAGGTTCCTGGGATGGGGGTCACTCCCTTGGCCCAGCCTTGCCCTTTACATTTCTGTATTAGAAACTCTGGCTGTGGCTGACGGGAGCCCCTGAGGGCTCTTGAGTAGAAACACTTGAGAATGTGAGTGGCACAAACAGCCAGAAACGTGCAAGAGCAAAGCGTGGGGAGATGCAGCCAGATGAATGCCAGGGCAGCCTGCACTGCCACCCACTCCAGCACTAGGCCCACTTGTCTCGGCACATGCCCTGTCATTGCAGGTAAATTGAGACCCGGGATCAAGACGTCCATGATGAAGGCTTTGGGGTTCCAGGAAGTCACATGGTCTATGACCCAGGTGGGTGGTGACTGTGCAGGTCCAGCGGTACAAAGGGGAGGCTGGGATGGGGATGTGGGGACAGGTGAGCCTCCTGTAGATGAGGAGGCTGCTTTGCCTGTGGGGGACGAAGGGAGAGTAGCCCCTAGCCTGGACTTAATGCACCTGTCCCAACCCACTCACCCCTCATTCATTAGTTCATCTGTTCAGTAAAGCTTTCCTGAGGGCCTACTTTGCACCAGGCCTGACTCCAGGGCTTGAGGCTGCAGAATTGAATCGGCAGGAAGCAGCCCTGCCTGTCTGGTGGGAGAGGCAGACCCTTGAAACCCCAATCTGGTGTCACCAGCTTAGGCAGAGTCAGGTAGGACCCCAGGACAGAGAGGCAGCAAGGAGTCGAGCCCCTGGGCGCCAGGAGAAGTGGCCTGTCAGGGGGCTGGCCAGTGCCAGGCACACAGCAGGTGTTTAATACCACACCTTTCCCTGGCACCTGCTAAGGGGGACAGCTGTAGCAAGGTCACTCACACCGCTAAGTATTATCCAGTGCTGGGGGGGTGGAGCTGTGTCTTGCTCAGACCTCCCTCAAACTCTGTCCACACACACACATACACACACACAGAGCAGGTCCCCCACAACCCCACTTTACAGGTGAGGAAAACAGCCTCACACATGGCCAAGCTGCGTTGCTCAGGAGGTGGCATTGTTAGGCTCTGCACCTGCTCTGAGCCCTGCCTCCTGTGAGCAGGGACTGGGAGGGACCCTCAGTCAGCAGGCACTTCCTGACACCATCTGGGAAGTGTGGATGGAAAATGCGTTCTCTCTGTCTCTCTCTCTGTCTTCCTCTTTCTCTTTAATTCTGACCTTGAAATAAATGCACGTGTCTCAAAAACAATTCTAAGCAAGTACGAAAACCCACCTGAGGCCAAGCATTTTGTTATTTTGTGATGCAATCAAGATGTCGTTTGGGACATCGGTGTGCCCTTTCGGAGTGCCTGGGTCCCAGTCCTGCTCTGCTCCCTGTCCCAGCTAGTTAAGTCTGTCTCTCAGATGGAGCTCTGAACTCACACCTTCAGCCTCGCCCAGCTCTGGCTGTGGCCGACATTTAAAAAGGGAATCAGCAGATAGAAGATTCATTCTCTCTCACCACTCCTCCCTCTTCCTCTCTCTCTCTGTGGCTTTCAAATCTACAGGTACTTTGTCTACCTCCATCATGGCCAAGGTATCCAAGTCAGGCTGGAAAGACACTTTGGAGGAAACATCTAACTCTTATCAGTTCTGATTTGCCCAAAACTGTCCATTTCAAATGGACAGACGCTAAATTCCTCTTCACTCCGGAGAAACTCACAGATGTGAATCCCTCCTTGGGTTCTGTATCGTCGCTTCCTGGCTTGTGGCACATGGCGAGCTCCATCCTCCAGCTCCAGCACAATCGACAGTGTGTTTTACAATCTAGTGTGGGTAGGGGACACGAGACAGAGCAGGGACAGGTGCAGGGGTAGTCAGGGACATAATCCAGTCCTGAGTGTGCGGGTCCTCGTGCAAGAAGCCCTCAGCTGTGGACCTCTGGGGAAGTCCCAGATACACATGCAGGGACCCTCACAGGGCAAGTCCTGCATAGCACACTGTTTCAAATGAAGAAAACAGAGCCTTGTTGAAAAAATCCAGCTGCCTGGGTTTCAACAGATCCAGGTGGGAACCTGTATCTTACAAAACTTGTGGGCCGGAGGGGACAACGCCTGCTGGATCTCCACCACTGTGGGCAGACGCGCAGCTGGTCTCACACAGACTTTCCAGCCTGACGCCCCAATAAAGCAGGAAGTTAAAAAACAAACCCATCTGTCTTTTCTCTCCTCAGATTGCCCTGGTGCTCACCCCGGTCCCTTCCTCTTCCTCCTCCTGCTTCTCTTCGTAAAACCCGCTCCTACTCTCCTCCCAGGAGTGCAGAAGCAAGCCCTGTCTCCCTCTGCAGTCAATAAAGTCTCACTGTGACACCTGCCATCTCGACTGAGTCTTTGTCTATGTGTGGGAGTTGTGTACCTCTGGGAGGCCTGGGCCTTTCACATCTTAGCCTCCCACGGTTCAGGCTGAGCCAGTCTGGCCGTGTCTGACCTGGGCCTGGGACATGTGGATGCCATCCTTGGCCTTGACCAAGAACAAGACTAGTTCCTCTCTCCCAACCCTATGTCAGCCACAAGATCACCTGTATAGGTGGGACATAGAGGGGAGTTGGGAGAGAGGGGTGGGCCTTGGCAGTGTGCTGGAGCCAGGGCTCCTGAACAATGGAGGCCTTGAGTGCAGCTGGCCCGGCCCTCAGGTGCACCCTGGACCTCACTAGGTGGCTTACCTTCTGTAAGCCTCAATTTTCCTCCCTATAAAATGCGAGAATCATGCACCCCACCACAGAGGGTTGTGGTAGGAACTAAATGAAAGCCATGCAAAGACCCAGCACAATGGCTCATGTGCTGGAATCCCATATGGACACTAGTTTGTGTCCCAACTACTCCACTTCCCATCCAGCTCCCTGCTTGTAGCCTGGGAAAGCAGTGGAGGATGGCCCAAAGCCTTGGGACCCTGCACCTGCATGGGAGACCCAAAAGAATCTCCTGCCTCCTGACTTCAGACTGGCTCAGCTCCTGCCATTGTGGCCACTTGGGAAGCAAACTAACATATGGAAGATTTTTTTCTTAAAACACATGATGTGGGGCCCGGCGCGGTGGCGCAGTGGTTAAAGGTCCTCGCCTTGCACGCCCGGGATCCCAAATGGGCGCCGGTTCTATCCCGGCAGCCCCGCTTCCCTTCCAACTCCCTGCCTGTGGCCTGGGAAGGCAGTCGAGGACAGCCCAAAGCTTTGGGACCCTGCACCCATGTGGGAGACCCGGAAGAGGCTCCTGACTTCGGACCGGCATAGTATCGGCCGTTGAGCTCACTTGGGGAGTGAATCATCGGACGGAAGATCTTCCTCTCTGTCTCTCCTCTCTGTATATCTGCCTTTCCAATAAAAAAATAATAAAAATAAATCTTAAAAAAAAAACACATGATGTGCTTTTCATTATGAGTAGCTAGGAAGTGGGACTGAACCCGGAACTGGGCCAACACTCTGATGTGCAATGTGGGTGCCTTACTTAACCATGGTGCCTAATGCTTGCCCCTGGGTTTCAGCCTGCTGGTCTGTAAAGCAGACATTAAAATCATCAGTTTTTTAGAACCTATATGCCAGGACCTGCCCTGCTCCAATGAGCCTTCCCTGCCCTCCAGACCCAAGCAGATCAGTGTGCAGCTCACAGACCTGACGCTCAATTCCCTGGACAACATGGGGTAGGGGGTTGGCAAGCGGGATGACACTGCAGCAGATATCACAGCTTGGAGATCCTTGAAGCAGGGCACAGGGAAGGGCCAGCAGCTGGCTGCTGGACCATACCCCAGCCTCCAAACGCCCTGCCCCCACAGCTGCCCTGCTCCCCACTATTCCCATCCCACTTCCCTCCCCTGGGTTCCACCTCTTGTAATAGGAGTCAAGAACTGGGAGTCCTGCCCCTAAACCACAGGGCTCTGCCCACTTGCCCTGGAAGACTCTGGCAGAGGGCCCGGCATGGGGGTGGGTGCCCAGGCCTCCATGATGGGCCCTGTGAGTTTTGGCTGGAAATCTGTTGCCAGTCCTGCCAAAAGTCTCCTCCCTCCACCAGGAGCTCCTCAGAGCGGGAGGCAGGGCTTCCAGCCATGGCTGCCACGCCCCCTACCCCATCCCAGCTCGGGCACAAAAGCCTCTTCCTGGGAGCTGGGCACAGAGGCCAGCCGCTCTATTCTGGGAAAGGTAAGGACAAGGAGGCCACCCTGGGCATACCAGAAATAGTTCTCAAGGCTCTACAATAACTTAGTATGATCCCTGAACACCAGGCAAGCCTAGGTTCAAATCCCAGTTCTGCCACTTACTGTCCTCAAGGGCAGTACTCTCTCGCCTCGGAGCCTCAATGTAACCCTCTGTCAGATGGGGCTGCTCAGGCAGTCGTGGTGAGGACCCAGCCACAGCTGAAGCTTGTAAGGCCCTCCATGCGGTGCCAGCACCGGGGTACCTCCCCCGCAACCCACAGTGCCACCTTGAGCTCAGCCAGCACTGGGTGTGGTATGGGGAGTGCCGGCTGTGATATGGGCCTGCTGCATCAGGGTTGGGAGGCACAAGGTGACTGGTCCCCAGCGAGGACATCCAGGTGTCCCCCACCCTGCGTCTACAGGTCCTGGACAGGATGCTGCTGCTCTGGGGGCCCCTGCTCTGCTGGGGGCTACTGCCCCACACCCAAGGGGAAGCACACAACCTGCTCTTACGGATCAGCAAAGACCAGCTGGAGACAGGTGAGATCTAAGTGGCCACCAGCAGGAGGCCAGAACTGTGGTGCTGGGAGAGAGAGGGCACCACTTCCCTACCTAGCGGTCTCCTCCTCTGGCCCTCCCCTTTCCAGCCATGGAATTCACCTGTCTTGACCCAGAGCTGACCTCCCCTGCCCCAACATCTGCCACAGCTCCCCAATGACAAGCTCCCCGGTGACAGACATGAGCCAGCTTCTCTCCTGACATGCATAGCCCTGCAGCTCCAGACTGTCCACCTGTCCCCATCCTGGCCACCCCAGGACTTCACAGCACCCTCCTTTGTTTCCTTTCTTCCTCTTGACTTACCCCAGAAAGCCAAAGTCTAGCTACGCCTGCCCCAGAAGCTCCCTCCCATGTCCCCTGGGCTCCCACAGCCCCAAGTGCAGCATTTGTTCCAAGCTGTTGGTGCTAGTTGTCCTGTCTACCTCACTCCTTACTTTTTTTTTTAAAGACTTAGTTGTCTATTTGAAAAGCAGAATTACAGAGAGGAGAGGGAGATAGAGATAGAGAAATCTTTCATCTTGTCGGTTCACTCCCCAGATAGCTCACAATAGCCAAAGCTGAGCCAGGCCTGAGCCAGGAGCCTGGAATTCCATCTGGGTCTCCCACATAGGTACAGGGAGCCAAGGATTTGGGACATTTTCTGCTGCCTTCCCAGGCATATTAGCCAGGAGCTGGATCAAACCTGCACATTATGGGGTGTCGGCATCTAGGCAATGGCTTAACCACTTCACTAACCCTTCCCCCTAACTCTTGACCAGGCTGCTTGTTGTCCACCCACCTCTTACCCTGTTCATCACATTCTGGCCTCAGACATTCACCAGCCTGGCAACTGCCTCAGGACCTTGGTGTGTGCTGTCCTTCCTAGAGCTTCCCATAATGGGGGCCTCGCTAACCACCTGTGTGAGACAGACATCTGCCCCCTTCCCTCTGCAGCCCCACACTGCATTCCATTTTCTGACAGCAATCACAGCTTCTAAAACTTGCCTCACAGCCAGCCTGGTCACTGGGTTGCTATTTGCCCCCACTTGAATGCGGACCTGGGGAGGGGGAGGGGCAAGAGAGCCACTAGGCTCCTGTTCCCTGAGCCCAAGAAGCACCTGCTGCTGCCTGGCGCTCTGGTGCCTCTGGGCGGGTGCCAGAGAAAAATGAAGGGTGACCCTGCCTCAACACACACACACTAAGCAGGAGTTCTTGTCCACAGACATCTCAGATCTGCTCTGGGAGAACCAGATCCTGAGTCGTTTGGTCAAGATACCTGTGACGGGGCCCCCAAGCCAGGGCGTCGCTATCCTGGACCACCTCCCCTTCATCAAGGAACGCCTCTCCCACAGGCACAGTGGCCTGCAACTGTCACAGGTCGGGGACCTGCTCTCCGGGAGGAGCACCCCTCTGCTGAGTCAGCTGCTCCAGGCAGGCGGGTGAGTGGCCAACGGGGCTTCCTGGGGTCATTCCCTCCTGTAGGGCAGAGGCAGGGTCTGGGCATTTGGAGCTTCTTGGCAGCCTGCACAGCACTGGGCTCCTGGATGTGGCCTATGCCTCAGTCTTCCCAGCGAGAAAGCCACATCTAAGTCAGGGACCTTAGCCTGGCTGCTCTGCCGCCCTCCACATCTTACCAATGCCTGGATTTTGCAGGCTTGCGCAGTGTGGCTTTTTTTTTTTTTTTTTTTAGATTAAGTTATTTAAGAGATAGAGAGACAGAGAGGGAAATGGAAATCTCCCATCCACTGCTGCGCTCCCCAGAGGCCACAAAAGGTCTAGGTGGGCCAGACCAAAGCCAGGAAAACAGAAACACAATGCAGGTCTCGTAAGTGGGTGGGGACCAAATGACTTGAGCCATGCTTGCTGTTTCGCGGGGTGCACATTTGCAGGTTTGGAGGCAGAAACTAGAACTCAGCATTCCACAGGGCAGGGCTTGATCCCAAAGCTGTCCCCACCTCCCTACTATGCAGCTGATACAGACACATTCAGTCCACTCACTCACAAGGGTCCAGCCAGGCCACCAACACACCTTGCACCTCTCACAGGTTGGTCATTGAAGATGCCAGGGGACCTGAAGTCAACCTTGACATCCTGAGCGACAGCCTGCTGCAGGTGACACTGCGCTGCAAACTGTACCTCTCACTCCAGGGGTAAGTCCTCCTCGCACACTTCCCTTCCACCGCCTACCCCACCCCGTGTACCTGGGCACCAGGCCACCCAGCCTCCGTCACTGTGACTCAGGTAGCCAACAGAGTCACAGAGTTGTGCTTAATGCACGCCAGACCAAGGGCTCCAGTCAACCTTCCCATCTGTGCATGTCCAAGGTTGTTTGTACTGAGGGGGAAATTGGGACACAGAGAGTGGGCTGCCTGGGCTTACAGAGTGAGATGGCAGCAGAGACTGAGATACCTCCTGAGCCAGGAACTGTGCATCCCTTCTGAGTGAAGAGGCAAGCAGGTGCACCAATGGGAGGACAGTTGCTTCTCCAAGCTCGCCTGTGCAGCTGGAGAACTTGGGTCAGGAGCAACTATTCCCTAGGCCTTGGTGTCATCATCTATAAATGGGCATAAATGCAAGTCCCGTACCAATGTGAGAGCTCACCTGCAGAGACCCACCCAATGACTACATGCACAGGTGTGTCACAGCCCAGGGTCTGCATGCGGGGCAGGAAGAAAGACTAATCGTTGATGCCCTTTTTCACCTGAGTTGTTAGGCAACTACAGGCCACCAGCTTGTCACCTCCAGCCTCCACCTGGAGCATGGGGTTGGAGCCGACCCAGACAAGCTACCCCCACAGGTTCCTGTGGCTCAAGGTCATTAAGAACATTCGCATCGGAGTCCGGCTGGAACAGACCGAGAATGCAACCCAGGTGGCCCTGGAGGATTGCCACACCCCACCTGGCTACCTGAGCGTCGAGGTCCTGGAGCAGTGAGTCCCCGTGCCCTCCTGCCATCCCCGGAGCAGGTCCACACTGATCCTTTGCTGAATCCCAGTTGTCTGCAGTGACATGGGCACCAGGGATAGATCATCTGCAAGGTCACGACATGGGTCACCTGCCAGTGCTCCCACCTCCACACAGAAAGCCATTGCTAAGAGCGTCCACCAACTGCCTCACAAGGGAGATCTGTTCAAGCTGATTCATGTTGGGAGTGGTCCTGGGGTAGGGAGAAGGTGACCCATGCTATGCATGTAACCAAGTGAAGTGGCCACCATACGTCCTTCTTTGACCCAGAACAAAACCGCTTTCAGGAAGCCTTCCATGAACTCCTCTGCTGGATGTGACCTCTCCTTGCTCAAAAACCCTAGGCTCTCCTGTCAGGGAAAAAAAAAAAAAAGACACAGGCAAGGGCCAGCACATTGACATAGCAAACTAATCCTCTGCCCGTAGCACCAACATCCCATAAGCAGAGAGCTGGTGGGAAGTGGAGCAGCCAGGACACAAACTGGCACCCATATGGGATGCCAGCACTTGAATATGTTGAAAAGATTTGGGTCTGCTTATGTTGTATAGCAGAGTGCCCAGGTACAAGCCCCAGCCTTGCTCTCAGTCCCAGCCTCCTGCTACTGAACCCTGGGGAGGCAGAAGTGATGGCTCTGGTCCCAGGGTCCCTGCCACCCACCGGAGCGACCTGGATTGATGGCCAGGCTCCTGGCTTTCGCCACCACATGCATTTGTAGACTGAACCAAGAGATAGGATCTCAAGCTCTCTCTCCAGATATATAGATACAATATTGAAAAACAAGAAAGAAAGCAAGGTGGCAAGAGCCAAGTGGGGAAAGACAGAAATGAAAAGATGGAAAAGAAAGAGAGGGATGGGGATCACCAGGAGGGAAGGAAGCAGCTGCTCTGGCATCCAGCTCCCTCACAGGGTGCCGGTCTTCCCCTCCAGAAAGGCCTCCCTCGTGGAGAACAAGGTCCTGAGGCTGGTGACGGGCCTCCTGGATGAGGCACTGCCCTTCCTCCTGCAGAAGATTGTGAGTTGACCCCCAGGAGGAGGTGACCCCAGTGACAGTCTCACAGCCTTGCCCCGCCCCCTCTGAGGATTCCGTGGGCCGCCCTTGCAGGTGTGTCCCGTGGCCATGAACCTGCTCAACCTGCTACTGGAAGACCTCCTGCACATCACTCTGCGTATGTACACTGCTGCCGGCCAGGACCAGGGTCTGCTTTCTCCTGTTGGGAGCTGGGGAAATAGGACTGGGGACAAGACAGACAGACCCCACCCACAGGGAGCAGACTTCCTAGGCAGTGGCACGAGGGATGATAGAGTGTATGACCTTGGTCAATCATGCCAATAGATGAAAGAAATTGCTTCAAGCTAAGCAAGGCGGGAGACAGGATTTCCTGCCTCCCCAAACAAGGTGGGTTGAGCCCAGCTTTGTGTCCTCCCTGTAGCCCCAAGCAGCAGGAGCCAGGATGACTTCCAATACTACATCACCTCCACGGAGTTCACGGAGGAGACCATCCTAATGCAAGCCCTGGTGAGCAGAGACACTGGGGGTGCCTGCTGTTGGGGTGAGGGGTCGGCAGTAGGGAAGGTATTCTCAAGAGAGGAGGAGAGAGACGGAGGAAGAAAAGGGGCTCTGGAAACTTCTTGGAGACCAGGGAGCCTGGCCTCAGTCCTGGAGGTCAGGAGGTCCTGCACACTCATCAGCCACAGCCTCCAGGGGCAGCGGGGGGAAGATGAGGCTCGGAGAAGCAGTGAGGCTGGCTGTGGCTCCTCCCCTAACTCCCTGCAGTGACAGGAGGCAGGCTGGGGGCCAGAGGGCTGTAGAGGGCAGGAAGGAGACACTGTTAACCACAGCAGTGTGGCTGGGGGAAAGCAGTAAAGTCAGGGGTGGCCTCCAACCCAACCTCAGTAAGTCACTTCCACAGGGCATTTTCCACCCAGAGGCTCCAGGGACAGGGCCGGGCACTGCACACGCCGTGCACAGAGCCAGGAGAGCCAGGTGCACGAGGTTGGGAAGCTGCCCCTGCTGAGCTTCTTCCCCCTTCATTTCTTGGGAGCTCGTGACCCCCTGTGGCTCAAGCCAGAGGGCCCCCACACCTGAGCACCCTGCCCTCCAGCCTGTGCCAAGGTTGAAATCGGGCAGTGTGGCAGACTTGGTCTTTGGGGTGGATGTCTACAACAACATCGTGTCCTGCCTCTACAGCAGTGAGGACATCCGCGTGCACCCCCAGGACCCCCAAGTGAGTGGTTGGGGAAAGAAAGTGGGGAAGGGGGTCACCATCTTTCACTTGAAAGGGCCTTTCCGGTGGACCCCACCTAGGGAATTCCCATTCAACCTCAAAACCCAACACAGAAATGTGCTAGCCTAGGAGGACTTCCTTAAATAGCTACACCTCTCTACTGCTAATCTTTTCACAATGCATCACCATTTGCCTGTGCTATCAAGATGGACTGAAGACCTACAGTGTGCACACAAGAGTCCCGCACTCAAAGAGCTTATAGCCCGATGGGGAAAGAGACACAGAACAAGAAAACAGTACCGTGGAGCAAACACCTTAAGCGAGCAGGGCCCAAGGTAGTGAGTCACGGGCAGAGGTGAAGGGCTGAGGGCTCAGGGACAGCCTGAACAGGGGCAAGGAGACACACAGAGTTCCTGCTCCCAGCTCAGCTCTGGGCTTGATGTAAGGATCAGATGGGGAAGAGTGCAGAAGTCCCCAAACCTCTTTAGTGTCCCCAAAGTAAAACCTGCCTGCTCCCTGTGCTCCACTCAGACCCTACAGGCACACATCACAGTCACAATCACATATTCACACATGCAACACACAGCACATTCATACTGCACACATATATAACACCTACACACGTACATTGCATGTAAACATACGACACAAGCACACAACACACATATACACAAAACACACAGGCACACATACAACACACACACACAAGAGAGTATTTCCAACTGTTCAAGAAACAATGGAATTGTAAAGTAACATGTATTTTCAGTAAACTTTTTGAAGGCCCCTTGTATGTGTATATGTTTACTAGTAAGTATGTGCCTGCATTACATATATAAGCACACAGATGTGTATTTGTGTGTGTGTGTGCACATAAGTATGTTCCTTCAGTTGGCTTGGATTCAAAAAGAAACATGGAAATCCATGCATTTTCCATGAATCTTTGGAAGACCCCATATATGCTTGGACTTTAAAAACTTTGGCAGCCAAACTCCCCGTGAATTCCACATTCCCATGAACGCTTTGAGGTGCCTTCTTTATTGAGCTGTGCTGGGTCACCCTCTCCTCCTTGATGAGGGTAGGGACTTGGCACAACGTGGCGAGCACGCAGTGTTGCTTGGTGTGGACCCAGCACACTGAAATCCTCGTTTCTGCATTTTCAAGAGATCCACTGTCACCGCCCCATTTTCACACGGGGAAACTGGGACCCAGGGAGGGGAAGGAACTTATCCAAGGTCACCCAGAAGGTAGAATCAGGACTAGAATTCAACTGTCCCCTACTGCTCCCCCCACCCCACACAGGTGTGCAGCTCTAAGATAGAACCTTCTAGAAGTGAACCCTGTCACTTTACCTCTACAAATATTCTTTTTTTAAAAAAACATATATATTTTTATTGGAAAGCCATATTTACAGAGAGAAGACACAGAAAGATGCTCCATCCACTGGTTCCCCAAACTTCCTCTGGGTCTCCCATACAGATGTGCTCCCCAAGGCTTTGGGCCATCCTCTACTGCTTTCCCAGGCCACAAGCAAGCTGGATGGGAGGTGGGGCAGCCAGGACACAAACCAGTGCCCATATGGAAGGACTTCAGCCACAAGACTACTGTGCTGGGCCGGAATGATTTGTGATTTTCAAAAATCAATGGAACATAGACAGAAATGTGATAGAATACATGCAGGAGAATCATGAACACACGCATACACTCTCCACAAAGTCCTTCCAATTTTGCTGCACATATAGAGTCTCACAGCAAAATGTTGGGAGAACAGTCTTTTAACAATAAAGAGGGAGCTTTTCCGGGTGAATTACTGAGTGAAGCCAGTTGACTGGCTCCTCTCGCACTGAGACTGACAGGCATGCAGGTGGCATAGCTGGCTGGGGCCACCTCTGTCCCCTTGATCCCCACGGAGCCCCCACCTGCTCAGAACAGGCCTGCTCATTTTGCCCGTTTCCAGGCTGCCGACCTCATTCAGCTGCTGTCCCAGAACAAGCTGGAACCTGGGTCCGAGGTAGGTGTGATGTATTGCTAACTCCTCCTCCAGCCTCTAGCCAGGGAGACCGTGTGGGCAGGGAGAGGTGGGGCTGGGCCAGACAGGCCACATGGGCGTGCTCTGCTCGGCCAGGCTCATCCCTGTATCTGCTTTTGGGGTTCTGTAAAGAGCCAGTGAGATGATGTCAGGAAGGCACTGAGCTCACTGCCCAGCTCAGGTGACTGTAGTTTGTGTGGCTGTCACTACTTGGCCCTCACTAAGGCACACAGAGATGATAGTGAACAGTGACAGTCGCCCTGCACTGTCACCTCCTCATCCGAGTGAGCAACCTTAGTCACAACAGGTGAATTCGCTCGCCCAAGCCCACATCACCCAGGGTTTGAGCCCAGTCCCTGACAGCAAAAGCCATGCCCCACACCCTCTCCGTGGAACTCCCCGACACCTCTTTGCCCGAGAGATAAGCAGCTGTAACGGCAATCCCACAGCCAGGGCCAGGTCTGCGTCTAAACACATTTTACAGAAGCACCTTATTGGAAAGGCCACTACTGTGCCTGTTTTCACTTCATGAAAACTGAGACACAGAAATTCAGAGGTTTGCCTCAGGCCATACAGCCTGCGAGTAATGGAGCTGGAGCTCTAGTCCCGGAAAATTCTTCTCTCAACTGCTGCATGCACTCAGGATGAGCAGACAGTAAATCCACTTGGAAGAGGCTCAGAGAGGGCAAGCAATACCCTCAAGGTCGCACAGCAAGCTGCTGCAAAACCCAGACGCCTCCCCCTCATCACCACTGCCCCTTGCTCCTTGCCCCTACTTTCTCTGCTGGAACCTCATTCAGGCCTCTGATCAGTCAACAGGGGGTGTGGGACTGGCCATCAGAGCCCCTCATCCTCCCACCATCCACTTTGATGGCCACAAGTTCACAGTCATCCAGCCAGGCTCCCTGGTGCTGCCAGGGACCAGCAACACCTCTTCGGTCTCAGTTTTCTGGGTAAGTGAAATGCGAAAAGGGTTCCATTTGGGGGCCCCTTCAGGGCAAGGTCATGGGGACAAGGGAGGGAAGCATTGTGCTTCCCCTTGCCATCAACGAGTTCACAGCCTGGGAGCTGGGTCAGATGGTCACCCCGGCGCTCTCCAAGGGCACAATTGGCGGGCACTCGACTCTGCCCAGTGCTAACTGCACAAAGAGCTTGGGAGGAAGCTAGGAGACCTGGAGCTCACAACGGCCTCATATGCATGGAGCCAGGCCCAGGAGGGACCCCACCCCAGGTTCCACTTACTCAGAGCACCTTAGGATTCCTCATGCCCCTTGCACAAACCAAGAAGGGGCCTAAGGTGAGGGGACAAGAGGTGTCCCTACCATGGAGGCGCAGGTGGCATCCAGGGGCTCCAACAGGTCCCAGGGAGCATGGCTGGCTGGGCCCATGGCCAAGAACCGGGTGCTGACTGGCCAGGGGTAAGATGCCCCATGTCTGTAACTGTGGCCCATGGAGGCCTCCAGCACAGGTAATCTGGGACCCCAAAGACTCGTACCCCAAAAGGTCCTCCCTCCATGGGCTATTTGTCCTCCTGACCCAGCTACCATATCCTCACAGAATCTGCTGTCTGAACCCATATTTACTATTCAAAACCAGGAACTGAAACTTCAGCTTGCTCCTAACAGGTGATGTCTGAGAGTTTGGGATGATGGAAACAGATGGGGTGGGGGAGCGAACGGGCAGGTGATCGGAGATGCTGTTCCCAAGCCCTTGGTCGGCAGGTCCTGGGTGTAGGGGAGGAGCGTGGGGGCTCTGTTCCCCAAGTGTCTGCCCCAGCCTCAAGTGAGATCTCTTCCTTCTGCCAGCCTCACGGTCATCCTGGACCCGCACCCCACCAACCTCAGGGAGCAGGTGTGTCCCTTCCTGAGCCTGGGCTTGCCTGAGGACCCAATGGGGCTGGGTTGAAAGCTTTCACTTTATACCCCTGATCTCACTCTGCCATGAAGCCCCCCTAAACCCACTAGGGCTGAAGGGGGCGGGGGTAGGAGGGAAAGCCTCAGGGACCGTCCGTCTCATCCTCGCCTGCACTGGGCAGGTGCTCATTGAACACTTACTTGCAGAGTGAAATAGGGAGACAGAAATTTTCCACCCACTGGTTCATCCCCAATGGCGGCAACAACTGAAACAAGAATTCCTGAGGGACTCCACCAGGGTCTCCCACGAGGGTGGCAGTGGCTCAAACATGTGAGGCACCCTCAGGGGTGCACATGGACAACCGTGGCACCCCGAACTGCCCCAGGCCTGTCATTCAAGGTGGATTCACTCCCAAGCGATGCCCCTCAGGATTGCTCCTACTCCCCTGTGGGCACCTGTCCAAGGGAGCCCATTCCTGTGGCCAGAAGGCACCTGCCCAGCAAGGTAACCATGCTGTCCTCCCACTATGTTGCAGAAGACACAGCTGCAGGACCTGCTCTCCAAGCTCCTGAGTAGAACATTCCTCCCCTACCACAACCGTGAGTGTCACTCGGAGCCACAGCATACAAGGGCCAGCTTCTGCCTGCCCCCCATCCCAGGGAAGGGTGGGCTAGGAGGGTCCCCAAGGAACAACTGAAACCCAGGCAGGGGTGGCCCATGAGGGGTTAGGGAGGGACATGTGCCCTCCTGTTGGTCCAGCAGGGCAGGGGTCCACAGGGGCTCCTTGAGGCAGACCGCAGCCATGTGACACAGAGTCACAGTGGACATGGAGGGTAGGTGCCCAGCTCTAACTCTGCAGGACCAAGAAGGCAAGGTGGGCCAGTGAAGCACCTGAGTGGGCATGGCCAGCAGGAGCGGCTGACTCAGCTCAGCCACCAGCTGCCAGCAGAACACAGGAGCCCTGTGGGGAAGTGTCAGCCACAATTTCACACTTTCCTGAAATCCCACAATCCTGGGCTCTGAGGATGATAGGAGGCCACAGGCAGCTGTCTCTTCTTCCCTCAACCATGAGTGACATATCAGGCCAGCAAGAAGCATCAGACCCTCCCCCAGGCCCAGAGGGATGATGGGGTCATGAAAGGGGCAGGAGGGGCCCAGGCCAAGCCCTCAAGGTCAACTCTTAGAAACCCAGTTTACTGAAGACCAAGGTCCCAATAATGAAACTCAAACTACAAAATGACCAGTCGTCCACATTTATCCGCAAAGGCCTGCCTAACACATCATTCTTCGTACATTTGATCAATAAATGCAAATTTGATTTTTTTAAAGATTTATTTATTTTTATTGAAAAGTCAGATAAACAGAGAGGAGGAGAGTCAGAGAGGAAGATCTTCTGTCCGATGATTCACTCCCCAAGTGAGTGCAACAGCTGGTGCTGCACCAATCTGAAGCTAGGAGCCAGGAACATCCTCCAGGTCTCCCTCCTGGGTCCCAAGGCTTTGGGCTGTCCTTGACTGCTTTCCCAGGCCATAATCAGGGAGCTGGATGGGAAGTGGAACTGCTGGGATTAGAACTGGCACCCATATGGGATCCCGGCACATTCAGGGTGAGGACTTCAGCTGTTAGGCCACTGTGCCAAGCCGAATAAATGCAAATTTGGAAGATGCTTCCACTGAAACCCAGAACTAGCAGGTGCAGGAAGCAGCCTGTCCAAGGCTGACTCTCCCTGCAGGCTGCTCACTCTTTGGAGTCTGCCTAGCCAAAGGATGGAGAGGGCACTGCCCGTGAGCAGGCAGAAGGGGAAGGGGCACCCTCTGTTTCCTGTTCTGGACAGCTGGCCTGGCCTGGCCCCACCCTCACAGCACCCCTGGGCAGCTCTGGCCTCCCCTCTTACAGAGCGACTCAGAGACCACGGCCTCCCGCTGCCCAGAATCAAGGGCATCTCCTTCAACCAGGCCCAGGCAGACCTCTGCCAGGTAGGTGTGATGGAAAGGCATTTCCTGAGATATGAGAGGCAGGAGCTTGCCCTTACAGGTGCAGGGAGAAGGAACCGCCATGTGCCATAGCCTCTATCTCCCGCATCTCACCTTCTGCTGCCAGCCAGCCTGGAAGAGACACCCCATGTACAGATGGGGAAGCAGAGACTTCAAGAAGCCACCTGGACCCCTCGGGCAGTACACAGTCCACAAATCCTTCCCTGGCTGCCCTGGCTGCTCACCCATTCATTCACTATCACCCATTCATCCCATCACTGTGTCTCCATACATGTCCTGGAGCCTGATCTGTTTCTTGACCCGCATTTCCAAGACATCCCTTTCCCTCGGCTCCACCCCCTCACCTAGGGAGCCCCCCCATGCTGCCCTCCTGGGCCATGCTGAGGACTTACATGTGGCCCTTGTGGAACTGGTGGGAGCACAGCCTGTCGGTGAAGAGCAGGCTTAGTGGGTGCCAAGTTCATATGGGGAGCCTGTCTCTACACCCACAGGGATTCCTGCTGCTGACCATTCCAGAATAGCCAGTGTGCCCAGCAGGCCGTCCTTGCCCCAGCCACAGCCAAGGTGTGCGAAGAAGGGAATTGACACCTTCAATAAAAACGCCTTCCATCAATAAAGACACCTCTTTGAGCAGGACTTGGCTCTGACTTTGCAAAGGGGCCCCAGAGTGGGAAGTGGGTGGCGATAAAGATTCAGTGAGGGATTTCTCACCCTACTGGGTCTTCCGGCGGGCTGTGCTGAGCCCTGCGTTCAGTGCCTGGATGGAACTCCTGGAAACAGAGAGAAAACTTGGGTTTCCCAAGTTCCAGCTGGGGAACATGGGGTAGGGATAGGATGCAGTGGGGGATATATCTGATGGGTCTCTGGGGTCAGAGTGCAGAAGAAGGGGTTGGAGGGTCACTAAGGGAGAGGGAACCACAGGAGTCTTGCCATGCTTTAGGGACACTGGGCTCAGAGCAGAGGGCTGGGGCAGCAGCTGGTAAGACAGCACCCCACAGACAGCCAAGTGATTTGCAGGGCCCCCAGAGCACTGCCCAAGGCAGGGGAGGGAAGGAGTTCCAGGGAGAGACCCTGCCCACTGCCTCCATAGCCCATGTGGCCAGGCAGGATGGCCCAGCACAGGCATGACCAGGGTCTGACTGCCAGAACACAGAGATGACAACAGAGCCTTGACAGGGACCCCTCTCTCCGACAGCTGACAGGTGTCTGAAGACACCTTCAGATGCAGCAGGTGTGACTGTCCTCACCTGCCAGAGGAAGCTGTCACTTCTGAAGCTGAACATGGTGGGCCTGATGTCAAAGACCACCCTCACTCTCACTCCACACACAGACGGCCACCACCTCTCTAGCTGCAGCTTGACCCAGGCCTCCCTCAGCAGGGGAAACACACAGCTCCTGTCCCCAACACCTGCCCAGCTCCCTGGCTCCTGGGCTCTGGAGCCTAGGCCTTCCCCACAATTTCCACAAGGCAAAGTGTACAAAAGAACCTCTGTGAGCCGTTGGGAGCCCTGGAAACAGAGCAGCAAGCAGAAGGAGCACAGGACACATGGGGTTGGCAGGCATTTGACAGCTGTATTAATGACCTAAAGGATAACAGGGATTCTTCCTGGGAAGACAGAGGCCTTATGGAAGAACTTGGAAGGTCCTCAGTCTTCCACCAGGACATCCCCATAGGAAGTGGCCCAGGTCAAAAGCATGGAAGGCCTCTTTCCCTGCCACCTGATCCCATGGCCAACTCTCATGGTCTGACTTTCCCCATCGCCTGCTGAGCTGGCCCCAGCACCACATCGGGCAAGCACCTCCACCATCTTTCTTCTTCTGCTCCAGCCTCCGTCCCAGACTCACAAAGTAGCCAGAGTGAGCTTCCAAAACACAAACCCAGCAGCCAGCCTTGTGACACAGCCTGTTAAGCTGCCACTTAAGAACTCCAGTATGCCGTATTGGAGTGCTGGTTTGAATCCTAGTTGCTCCACTCCTGATCCAGCTCCCTGCTGATGCAGCTGGAAAAGCAGCAAATGATGGCCCAGTGCACAGGCCTCTTCCACCTTCACGAGAGCCTAGGTTGATATTCCTGGCTCCTGGCTTCACCCTGGTCCAACCCTGACAGTTGCATTTGGGGGACAAACCAGCAGGTAGAAAGTCTTTATCTCTGCCTTTCAGACAAAGTGGACTGAAAATAAAAAAGCACCTCTGAGGATCAGAATGTTCCCAAAAGGAAGAAGTGATAAGGACTCACTGTGATGGACCAGTACCCATGCTCTGACCCTTGCCCACTGTACACACGCGTGCAGGTACCACACAGCACTGCACAAACACATTTCTTCATCATGTGTCCACTAATAAAAAGGATTGCTTTTAAAGCTGTCAGTCTTGCCCTCTGTGGCATCACACAATGGTATTAAGTGCAATATTTATATTATATATAAATTACAGCACAAATATTACTTTATTTTTATATTTAAACTTTATTTCATTGTACTTCAATGATAGTGAGAAACAAAAAGATAATTTGACCTTATGTGGATGAGTTTTTTATGAGAGGTTTTTAAAAACTCTGTGTTGGTTTGCTTTGTATGTCAGCATTTCCAACTTTCTATTACTTTCTAACAAATGTATCTTCATAATGTACTTTCCCCAAAAAACGAAAGAATTCATCTTCTCTGAGAAGCCCTCAGTTATTCCCATCTCAGTCCCTCAGAATTTTTTCAAAAACACTTGTCTGTGTTTGAACAATCTGTCATTGGCTGTGTGCTTGTCTCTGATTAGAGGTCATACGAAGAGACTGTGCTTCCTTGCTGTACTCCCGGTAGTTGGTGGCTGCCTACTGAATGTCAGGAATACATGGGTGGGTGGGTGGATGGATGCATGGATGGATGCACGGATAAATGGTGGTTTAAGAGAAGGATGCATATCTGAACGTGTGGTGCATAGATGGGTAGACGGAACAGTGTCAATTAACCATAGTACTTGAAAAGTGCATAATGAACCCCCTGCTGCTGGGAAATTCCTAGAGAGACAATTAGAGATGCAAAGGATGAGATGGATTGCCACAGCATCAGCTTTACAGAAAGAATTTGAGACTACCCTAAAGCATAGAGGGCTTTTTCATTTACAACATAGTGAAGAGCGATTACAATCATGAAGAGCATCTAGAACCAAAAAACAAACCTGAGTAGATTTAAATTCACTCTAAATGTCCTCTGTGATGGCCAAACTTGCAGGCTGGGAGAACAGGTGAATTTTATTTTCTGCTTAAACTCTTTTCCAGACTTTTTATGGTGGACTTGATTGGGGGTAAGAAGGCTCTCAAACACACACACAAGGGAGAGAGAAAGAGAGAAAGAGAGAGAGTGTGTGCACAAACTCTAGCTGAGCCAAATAAGCAAGACAGAGCCATGTGGCTTTGGCCCTTGGGGAGTATATGAGAGAGGTGACACAAAACTAAGGGCTGCAAATCCCAGCGAGGACCTAGAAGGTCTGGGACAGAGGAACAGCAGGGGCAGCCTGGAAGATGGGAAAATGAATGGCACAAAATCCTCAGGATGCAGAGTTAGGCAGGATATGGCACTGTGTTTCAGGTGGAACAGGCCGGGGCCCCTCAGAGCCTGAGTGAAAGTCCATGTGGAAAGAGAGACCAACAAGAAAGCTCAGAGGGCTGGGCAAGGGTTAAACGTGCAGGGTTAGCAAGCCTGGAGCCAACATCTGGTGTTGTCCAGTGGGCAACCGTGAGCTGCAACATGCCCTGATTACATCAGACGCTTTTAAGAAGAAAGAGATTGAGTCGCAGCAATAGAGCCTCAGGCTTCCCAGAGGGAAGTCTGGCACCTGAGTGTCTGCTCTGGGCTGCCCAAACTGACCGCTGGTGGCAGGGTGCATGCACAGCTGCCCAGTGCCTTTTGAGGGAGGGAGACAGGTGAGGGGGCAGGGTGAGGAAGGGAAGGCCTGCTTCATGTGGCCAATCACATCACCCTGGTGTCCCCAGCCCACAAACCCCTGGAGGAGAAGCAGGAAAGAGTCGCCAGCCTATGTGACAGACAATCTGAGACTCGGAAAAGTGGGACACAGGGAGGTACCAGACAAACAGGACCACAAGGGGATGCACAGCACGCCTTGGGCCCTGGATGTGTCTGCAAGCACCAGAGACACTCCCCATCCTCCTCACCTCCCACAGGCAAGCAGCTGCCGGTGGAGATTTGGTGGTTATGGCCACAGGTGTCTGACTTCACTTCCAGCGTCATTTCTGCGCCACATCCCTTCTCTCCACCTGTAGCATCATGTATTCTCCCCTATGTGAACTCCAAATGCCACCGTGTTGACACCTGCCACTCAGGATGGCACCAACCGGCTGCACTTGCAAGACAGGATGCTCACAGGAAGCGCATCCCCCAAGATGGGTGGAAATGAGACAGGGGCACTCAGAGGGAAGCAGCAAAAAGTCAAGTGCCCAAAGGCCACTGGCTCCTCTGGACATGAAAGGGAAGGCCCAGGCCCCAACTCGGGTGTCTATGGGGCAACTGGACAGGAGGGAACCACCAAGTCAGAGATGCTCCCAACACAGCATGGAGCCAGTGCCTAGGCCTTTTGGAAACTGCTTCTGCACTATGACAAAGTTTGCTTATATACATAGTTTGTTAGACTATGACAAGAAAATGCTATCCCACCAAAAATGAAAAATTTTGCTCTCCCCTTTCTTCATTCTAGTGTGAAGTGTTGGACAGGATCCAGTTCACTCTGTAAAGAAACAGAATCCCAAAGTTTGCATTTGACTGTTACAAATAAGATATCAATCACTGTCATAGACTTGGCACAAAACAAACAAAAAGCAACTGGCACCAGCTGGCAGAGTGGTCAATGATGGTGATGACCATGAGCTACAGAATCCTTGGGCCAGGCATTCATGTGTTACTCTTCATCTAAGCCCCACAGCCATCCCCTCGTAGGGACAAAAATCAATTCCCCTTAATGGATGAGGAAACTAAGGCACAGAAAATGTGGGCGAGCTGCCAAGGCCACACAGCCAGCAAGCAGGTAGCTGACCCCCACTTCAGACCCAAGTCTGTTGGGCACCAAACCTAAGGGCACAAACTTAGCCTCCTCCTAAACCATTGGTGCTTTTTTCTCTTAAGACTTATTTGAAAGTCAGAGTTACAGAGAGAGTTTCCATCTGCTGGCTCAATCCCCAGGTGGCCACATAAGGATCAGGGGTGGGTCAGACTGAAGTCAGGAGCTTTACCTGGGTCTCTCATACAGCTGCAAGAGGGACCCAGGTGATTGAGCAATCTTTGGTTGCTTTTCCAAGGCTTTAGCAAGGAGCAGGATTGGAAGCAAATCAGCCAGGATACCTGACCTGCATATGGGATGCCAGAATCACAGGCATAGGCCTCAGTACTAGACTACATGCCAGCCCAAACCACTGGTTCTTTGTCTCCTATAAATCACAAGGCCAATCAAGGAATTCATGGAAGAGGAACCAGCATTGTGGCACCCAGATTAAGGCTACATTTGCGATATTAGCATCCCATATGGGCACCAGTTCATGTCCCAACTGCTCCACTCCCAATCCAGCTCCCTGCTAATGGCCATTA